TTGGTCACAGAAGATTCTTTCATGTGATAATGTTCTTTCACTTTGGTAACAGTGTCTTGCACATATTTGTTGACCTTTGCTACATTCTCTTTCGCATTCTCAAGCGAACTTGCGTTCCCACTGACATGCCCTTTGAGACTTTTGAGTGAATTCCAAAACTTTCATAAAGGCACCCAAGCATTTTAAGGAATGTTATTGTACCAGCAAGGCCCGTTACTAGCTTTATTGCGCCAGCGGAAACATCTGTCACAAACAATGTGTTCTCCAAGGTACATATTCCCTTCACTTGCGCAAAGGAACATGTTTTGTCCGTGCCATCCTGGGATCTGTCCAATCCGCTTCCTAGCAAAATACTAACTGAGCCATCAACAGGGTTGTATTGCTTCACTCTTCCAGCTTTAGAATCGGTAAACACAACATTACCTAAAAGAAAACGTAAATTTCTCTAATAAATTCCGAACTCGAGCTATATCAAGTCATTGGATAATACAGAATTTCTGTTTTATTATTATAAAATAAGTAGAAATCATTATCGTGAAATAATTGAAACAATATAATTACATATACTGTGTTGGTGTAGTGTACTCAGGTGCAAGATACTTGTGATGTTACTCTTTGATTGGGCTAGTATTCCAAAGGTCATAGGTTCGATTCACAGCGTGGCCAGGCATATTTTTCAGCCGGCCTGCCCGGTGTGGATATATGTGGAGTAACATCACAAGCAATATAATTACAATTTTACCTTTGAAGGAACATATCCTATTTACTTCAGTAGCCGAACGAGCACCTTCGGCAGAGTTGCTATGAACCTTCTCCACTACATTTGTGCTAAGCTGGCATATATAAAGGCCTCCATGACAAGAAGATGCCGCGATGTATGCATACTTATCCAAGAAATAAATCGATTCGATGTTAGGTATGCCATCAGGAAAAGAAATGACGCTGACAGAATTGCCACGAATCGTCACTCCATCAAATTCCAATGATAATTGATGCATAACACTTTGTGCGTCGTCAGTACACAAAAGAAGGTCTTCGCTGACAACACATAATGCACATGGCTTTGCTAAAGATGGATGGACTTGTACATTCTCCGCATCTTCTATGTTGTTAGATATTACATCTAAGTACTCTCGTAATCTCTTTTACGTAGCACAGGAATTGTTCCATCGGGGTTTAGATTAAACCGTTCCAGAAGATTTACTAGGTCAGCACATCGTTTTAGTGCGTCCGCCTTTATTTTCACCTTTCCTGTAAGGTCGACAAATGAGATAGCCGGAGCTCCTCTTTCTGCAATAAAAACAACTCCATTGACATAGCACAGATCCCTTGCATCCTTTAAATTATCCTTAGTAATAGATACATCAGCTGGTTGGTGGAGTCGAACAGTAAGGAGTTTGGAAATGCAAGAATCAAAGTCATAGTCAAGTATCATCAATGAGCCTTGTGGACCTGGACAAACTGCAATTGGCCGTGGACATACACCCGCTAAGTTGCTTTTCCAGAACCTATACTTTTCTGGGACGATTTTGTGGACCACAAGCTTTACTTCCTCCAGCACATGAAGGACATCTGGTCGTGTAATTCGAACAATGGGCTCAACCGCCATTCTATCTTTGTTCCTTACATATTCGAGAGAAAGCAGTTTCCTAAGTTTCATCCTTACGACGACATCAGCATCGTCACGTAATGTGCGAAGTAAAACAAGATTGCTAAATTCACCGTCAAGGTTAATGAACCAGTTAGACCAGCTACACCTGATACTTTTTCCTAAATGCACAACATCTGGAAGTGGAACGACAAGTTCTAGTTCAACTAATTCCGGTGCTAAATTTTCGCTTTCTGAAATGTCACTGATTTGAAGTAGTGCTTTTTGTTTTTGTTTTTTTTAATTCGGATTTCTAATTTGCCCCTGATCAAAGAGTCACCGAAGTATGGAAAAAAGTCCAATCAAACTTCAATTGTCAGTTAACAGTAAAGTTTTACTTGTCAGTAAAGAGTTAAAAAAATCGTTATTTGTCAGTTAACAGTTATCTTTAAGGCCGTTTGTCAGTTGTCAGTTAACCCCATTCAGACCCTCTTACATTGTTCGAGATTATTAATTGCTGCCGCAGTGAGCGAGCCTGAAGCGAGCGAGCAAGGCAGCAGATCCTAATTTTGTTTTGTGGGTCGAAATCAAAATTTTCTATTTGGCGCATTGCATGACGGTACCAGTGAATTTTAACCGTGGTGCAGCGCGGTCAGGCATAAGGCAAACAGGCAATGTGATCATGTTTCATCTTTGGTCTTCTTTTATGGAAAGCTATGTGATCAAACGGCATTTTGTTGGGTGCTTTTAGCATTATACGGCGGTGCTTTTGGCATTATGCACGGTGCTTTCGCCATTATACGCGGTGGTTCCAGTATTATACGCCGCGCTTTCACCATTTATATACGCGATGCTTTTGCAATTATACGCAGTGGTTCGTCGAGCACTATATGCGGTGCTTTTAATATTATACGCGATGCTAGCTTTCATTCAACATTATTTCCATATTCTTTCCATGACATGTATATGAATTTTAACCGTGGTGATTTTAACCG